ACCCAATGATCCTACTCCTGGATATTTACTCAAGAGAAACAAAAACACATGTCCATACAAAGACTTGTACATGAATATTCATGGCAGCTTTATTCATAATAGTCAAAAACTGGAAACAACCCAAATGCTCAACAACTGGTGGATGGATAAGCAAAACTTGGTCATTCCCACAGTGGAATACCACTCAGCAATTAAACACAATGAACTACTGAAACATGGGACAATCTCTACATGGATAAATCTCAAAAGCATGATAACAATTAAAGTCAGATATTAAAGACTCACACTCTGTGGTTCCATTTATATAAGGGGCTGGAAATCACAAAACTAAAGGAGCTGAAACCAGATCACTGGTTTCCAGGAACTTGGAGATGGGGTGAAGATTGACTATGAGGGGGCACGAAGAACTTTTGCAGTAATGGAAGTGTTCTGTATCTCAATTGAGGTCGTGGTTACAAGACTGTATTCAATTTCCAAGACTCATCAAAGCCTATACTTAGAAAGGATGAATCTACCATATGTAACTCATTTCTCAATAAACCTGACTTTCAAATGGCTCAAAGAAAAATGATGTCTTATGTATATGTGGGTATATATACACACACAAACATGTCTCTCACATGCATATGTATGTATGTGTATATATGTATGCGTGTATATATCTATAACTATATCTATACGCCTACCGAGTGAGATTGGAGGGGAAAGAATGATAAATCAGATATACATACAAATATATATGTATAGATACACGTGTATATGTATATATATATATTTTTTAATATGGGGGAGAGGATGATAAAGCAAACGTGGTAAAATGCTAACATTTGGGGAAACTGAAAGTATACAGAAATTCTTTGTTCCGTTTTTCAACTCTAATCTGAAATTGTTTCAAAATAAAAAGTTAGAAATTATATATGATTGTTTTTGTATGATAAAAATTTGCATATATGGCTTTAGACAACATCCATTCTTTTACAACTTGATTTTTTTCATACCACATCATGGTTTCAAAACATGTCCATGTTGAAACATGCACCTGTAGTCATTCATTTTCACAGTCATGGGATAGCCTACTGTGTGCATGTTTCAAAATATAGTTATTCTTTTCCTTGTTGAGGGACACTTAGGTTGTGTCCTTTTTTCCACCCCATCACAAACTGCTGCAGCCAATGCCCTTACTTAGTTTTCTTGTGCACAAATACAAAAGTTTCTCAAGGGTTTCGATCAGGAGTGGAATTGCTGGGTCATTAGGCATGCGAATCTTTGCCTTTACTAGGGACCGTGAGGTTGCTCTCTTCAGCGGTCCAACCAAACACCCCTCCACCCATGACTGCACAGGGCCTTTTGCTGCCATGCTGCTTCCTGGTTTAGGCTCACCCCCTCCTTCCAGAGATTCCTCATCCCTGTAGGCATGAACACTGAGTCACTGATGCAGAGGCCAAGGGCTTGGGGAGGGGAGGATGGTTTCTCTTTTGGGGATTAAAAATGTCCTAAAATTGACTGTGCTGATAAGTTTACATATCTGTGACTATACTAAAAGCCAGATTTTAAATGTGTTTCATTTCTAGCTTTATTGAGAGATAATTGACATATAACATTATGTAAGTTTAAAGTACAGTGAGATGACTTGATATATGTATATGTTGTGAAATGATTACCACAACAAAGTTAGTTAACACACCCATCACTTCACCTAGTTATCGTGTGTGTGTTTGTGGTGAAAACTTTTAAGATCTATTCTCTTAGCAACTTTCAAGTATACAATACAGTATTATTAACTACAGTTACCATGCTGTACTTTAGGTCCACAGAATTTACTCTTCTTATAACCGGAAGTTGGTACCCTTTGAATACTCAAAACCACTGGCTTGTACACTTTTTATAAATTTATTTATTTACTTATTTATTTTTGGCTGTGTTGGGTCTTCGTTGTTGTGCGCGGGCTTTCTCTAGTTGCAGCGACCGGGGGCTACTCTTCGTGGCAGTGCGTGGGCTTCTCACTGCAGTGGCTTCTCTTGTTGCAGAGCACGGGCTCTAGGTGCGCGGGCTTCAGTAGTTGTGGCTCACAGGCTTAGTTGCTCTGGGTATGTGGGATCTTCCCGGACCAGGGCTCGAACCCGTGTCCCCTGCATTGGCAGGCGGATTCTTAACCACTGCACCACCAGGGAAGTCCCTGCCTTGTACACTTTGAACGGGTGAGTTGTATGGTATGAGAATTGTATCTCAATAAAGCCGTTTAAAAAACTGAGCCTGGTGAGTTGTCTCTTCCCTCTCCACTTCCTTTCTCTATAATTTTTCTTCTCTTCATTAAGTATTTCTTGGCTGTTCCCAAACAATTCCTGTTCTTAATTCTCTGTCTCTGCCTCTTTTTACCAAACGTCCTTATTCTGCATCAGCCCATGAACTGAACTGCCAAACGAAAGGAGTCTCCAGGGAAGTGGTGGGCGGAGGAGAAGTTACAAGCAAACAGAATTCTCTCATCCATGGGGGAGGCTGTGGACACCAGGACCAGGCTTAGAGTGAGGCAACCAGGGCACAAAATGTGAGAAGGCAGTCACCCTCGGGGCTTGCAAGCGCAGGCTGGCACCCAAGAGTGATTCTTCCTTACATACAATTTACCATTAAAACCATTTTAAAGCGTACAATTCAGTGGTTTTTAGTACCTTCACAATGTTGTGGAACCATCACCACTATCTAGTTCCAGAACATTCTCATCACTCCAAAAGGGAACCCCATACCTATTAGTAATCCTTGCCCATTTCTCCATTGTGTAGCCCCTTGCAACCACTAATTTATTTTTTGTCTCTATGGATTTCTCTATTCTGGACATTTTACATAAATGGAATCATACAATATGTGGCCACTTGTGACTGGCTTCTTTTATTTAGCATAATGTTTTCAAGGTTCAACCACATTGTAGCATATACCATTACTCTATTCCTTTTTATGGCCATGGCCACTAATATTCCATTATGTGGATGTATCCCGTTTTGCTTACCCACTCATCTGTTGATGAACATTTTAATGGTTTCCACCTTCTGCTATTGTGAATACTGCTGCTATAAACGATCACGGACAAATTTTTGTTTGAACCCCCGTTTTCAGTACTTCTGGGCTTACACCTAGGAGTGGAATTTGCTGGGCCATATGCTAATCTATGTGGAACTTACTGAGGAACCATCTCCTTACATCTTGCACCTTGAGCGTCTAGGGTGCTTCATCCCAGCGCAGCCCTAAGTGCACACTCACCCATTTACGGCTTTCATCCCTACGTCCCCGCCATCCCCACGCGCGTCAGCAGCTTTGAGGCAGAGGGGTTGACATGGGCAACAATTCTAAGTCACATGCAGGGCCAGAAGGATGTCCTGTGAAGCTAGAACACAAAGGGAGCACCGGAAGTGGGGCTGGAGACGTCAGTAGATGCCGGGACACGAGGCTGTCATCCTCAGAAACTGGGACTTCACGTTGTTGGTTACAGGGAGCCGGGAGGAGAGAAATCACCAGGGAAGGAAAGGTTACAAACTCTGCCTTAAGATTGGAGAGTGCTCAGGGTCACCGGGAAAGGTCACTGTAGTCCTCATCGGCCCTGACTCCACACAGGAATTGAGGTGAACCCCTTCCACCCTGTGGGCCTCCATTTCTCAGACTGGAAAATGGACGCAGTAAGCTTCTGCTGTCTGTTGTAGGTGAGATTCTGGATGTGAGCTGGCTTCGTGATCTACGAAGCTCAGGGTAGAAGCTTCCAGTTGAAATGCCTGCTCAGGTGACTTCTGGAACAGGTAGACCCAACTTGATCTGGCTCCATGGAAGCATCTGAGAAGTCGTGTGGAGATTGAAATTCTATCAAGGGAGACCCATTTACAGCACGGGGGAACGGACTACTTAAATGAACCCAGCAGTGAATCCTCAGGCATGACTTTTGTGTTCAGTAAATTGGAACTTTCATATATTGGGTTTGCAGCTCAGCCATTCTGAAAAATTATTAATAGTTCAAACCACTTGGAGGTGGAGGTGGCAAGATTCCGATTTCTATGATTTTCATAGTACAGGGACTTTCTTTGGAGCAATAATCTCATCTAAAAGAGGCCCAGGGCCTCCCTAGGCGGACTCAAAAGGAGAGGGCTCTGGACAGAAGAGGAAAGCGGAGACTGTGCTTTCCCCACCCACGGAGCATGAAGGTCAAACTAGATTAGTTAAGGCAAGGAGGCGTGCTGATCGTATCTGGGGAATTTGTAGATTACCAAGACTGGCAGGGAAGGAAACAAGGGACTTTCTCTGGAGGAACGGATATTTCAGACTCCAATTCAATCCCCATTTGTAGAGGGAACTTCAGCCCCATGCTAGGCGCTTGGTACGTATTATTCCGTTTAATTTTTCCAACAATCCCTTTATGTACAAAGCCAGCAAGGGTCAAAAAGGTCAAGTGGCTTGCCAAGGTCACAGGGCAAGTTCAGCCCTGAGGCCAAGATTTGAACCCAGATCTCATGACTCCAGGCTTGGGGCTGGTTCCACCAAGCCACCTTCAAGTCCCCTTGAGAGTTACAAACAGTTGGACATGTGGGTGATATCTGGGACAGAGAGGACCTAAGTAGTCAGGGCTAATGTGACCCTGTGGGAGGGTCATTCGTGTCTTCTCTTTTCGGTTTGTCCTGGAAAGTCCCACATCTTTTGCAGAACTGCTTCCTAGTATCCTTATCTGGAATGGCTGCCGAGGGCAGCCGAAGACCAGGCTTGCCCTTGGAGGCCTGAGAAGGGAGGCTGAGGGCAAAGGTTCAGTCCATGTCATGTGGCCCTCCCGGCCAGGGGCCCCGCAGGTGGGTGGAGTAAGCCTGCGTTCGTCAGCACCCTCCTCACTCTTCTGAGCAGGGGTCTGGCAGGCGGGGGCAGAGTCCCCCAAGCTGAGATTGCCCTTCCTCAAACAGGGCTGCCTGGGATTCAGAGACTGCATGGAGAGAGCAGAGACTGTAGGTTGAAACCTGGGTTCAAATCCCAGTCCCCAACTTACCTGGCAGGAGAGATACCATGGTCACGAAGGTGGCTTTCCCAGGGTGCGGCTCATCCACTGCACTCCAGATGTGCTGAACCCTGTGACTTCCCCTGACCCTCCCCCAAAAGTCCCAGTCCCATCACTTACTTGGCTAAGTTTCTTCATCTCACTGTGCTTTGGTTTCTCCATCTGGGACCAATACTCATCAGATGGAAGGGGTGAGCCCATAGGAAGCGCTTCCCATCAAGGAACGAGAGCTGTTGAAGGTTTCCTGGTGCCCCTCCAGCTCCAAGGAGCAGAACCTGTGTCCAAACAGTTAGCACACCTGCCTGGGTACTGGTGTAGCCCTGGGGAGATACCGTGATGCACCAGTCATGGCTCCTGCTTGGCAGAACCAAGCCAGCCAGTGGGACAAGGGCTGCAGCAGAGGGATGCACAATACAGCCAGGAGGCGGAAAGGAGAGGCTTCACAGGGGAGGGTCTAAACATTTAACAACCTGCTTGCCGTGGTCACTGGCCAATCAGAAAGGACACTGGCTGTAACAATCCCTAGACCCATCAGTGTGATTTTGCTGCCCTGGGAAGGGACATTTGATTTGTGTCCTGATGGATAAGAATTCTTCAGACATGTGGGAAAAAAGGGCACTCCCAGCAGTGGGAACAGCATGTGCTAAGGCCTGAGGACCAGAAAAAGCAGGGTCTGCCTAGAACCATATGGTTGGAGCGTAAGATGCACATGGCGGGTGGGGAGAAGAGAAGGTCTTGAATCCCAAACTAAGTTTGGGGGACACAGTTAGGATACTTCTTTCTTTTCCTTCTTTTCATTTAGGATACTTCTGATACTTCGTGACCCTGACGAACGGGCACAGCAGTGGGAGTTTCCAGGGTCTGTACACTCCTCCCATCCCAGGCCCATGACATCTACTTGGGGCAGCGGCGTGGCTTGGGGTCTGGCTCCATCTCCTGGGAGAGGGTCCAACAAGCGTGGGCTAGGAGGAGAGGCTCAGTCAAGGGCCCCAGAGTGTCACTGAGGCCCCCCGTCTGCTCAGGAAAAACTCAGGGATGCTTTGGGAATAAGGGGCCTGGTTCTAGCACAAGCTCTGCTGCTTATGTACTGTGTGATCTCGAGTAAGGCACAAACCCTCTCTGGGCCTCAGGGTCTCCATAGCCAGCATGAGGAAGCCTGTTGATTTCTCCCTTGGAAATGAAGAGAGTGCCAAGCTGATCCTCTCCGACCAGCCACGCTACCTGACCTTGTGGGAAACGTGAGGGATTTGAACTTGGGCAGAGCCAAGTTTGAGTCTCGATTTTGGGATGTCCTGGATCTTTGACTTTGAGCAAGTGTTAAGTTCTGGGCCTTCATTTCCTCATCTCTAGAACGTGGACTTGATTGGCGAGGTCGATATGGTGTAGAATAAACGAGAACACTTCGGGTAAGAGTTTCGCTCCCTCCCTCGCCTTCTATGGGTGTCCTTTGCTCAGCGGCAGGGCCTTTGCTGAAGCTGGAGGTCAGTGGGGCGTGGGGAGGAAGGCCGTACCCTTTACTGCTCTGCCAGGACACTTTCGGGCACGGAAGAGGGCACTATGAGTAATAAACAGACACGAGCCCGGTGTGTCCTACGGAAACCGGAATCTATGACCCTGGCGATGAGAGGAGAGGCAGAAATGGAGAATGAGCTACAGAGGGGAGGGGAGGCGGGAGCAGGCACCGTGAGAAGAGGGCGTGAGGTCTCACGCTGGCTTTAGGACGTTCTCCTGCAGGACGTGCTGATTAGTCTAGTTCCCCTTGCCAGTGTTCCAGAAGAGCTTCAGTAAAGAGCTGCTCCTCTTTGCAGCGGTTTGGGAATTGGATTTGAGTTGGATGGGTTTTTTTTTAATCTCATGCATTTGCTTTGCTGGTTGGTTGCTTCGTTTTCCTCTTGGCTGTGACTCCCTGCTAAGCCTGCTCTCGGGCTGGGGGCAGGAAGGCCCAGTTACAGCTGGGCTCTGCAGGTAAAGAGCTTTACGATGCTCAGAAAACAATCATTGCTCAGAGAATATCCTTCCCCTTCCATCATCCTCAGCAACAGCGCCCTTGCACCGGGACCCTGTCCACGGTCATCGCAACCCCCCAGACTCACCAGTGCCTTCATACTCTGCAAGTAGTCTGGGCCCTCCCGACTCCCCACGCCTCCCCATGCAAGAATCCTGAACTCCTCTGAGAGCTGCTGTACTGCTGTCCTTTCCGCTTCCTCTCTCTTCCTCTCTGGTGGGGGCTGGGATGCAGCTGGCGGGGCTGGGGGGGGGGCTCTCCCCCAGACTGCTTCTCTCACAGCCCCCTCAGCGCGGCACACCCGGGTCTGCATTCCTCCATCCTTAATGCCTCCTCTGGGAACATAGGCTTTCAGAAATCTGAGAAGACCAACCAGCCGGTGCAGGCCAGAGGGAGGTGGGCCCAGACGGGGGTGTGGGGGGGGGTGGGAGGTGGGGCTTGGCTTCTGCCTTCGCTGGAAAGAGAAACCTCAGGCTTTCCCATCCCCTTTCAGCTGCTCTGGGCTTCCAGGCCAGGGAGAAAAGAGGGTTGGCTTTTGCTCAATCCACTTGGGGAGATGAGGGCCAGAAAAGACAAGAAGTTGTGATGGTTTGTAAAGGTAGAGGGACGTTGCCACATCTACCTGGTGCAGAAGTTTGCACATCGGGGACCCTTCATTGCCCCTTAGGCTTCCAGAACAACAGGAAGATCCTACTTGCAGGACCGATCAGAGAGGTGAAGCTAGTAGCCCACGGTCACACAGCCAGGAAGTGGAGGTGCTAGAGTTCAAATCCAGGCTGGTTCTGCAGCACCACACCACCTCCAAGTACATGTGTCCCAGGCACAGTTGGAAATATGCCCTTCCTGCACACCTCTCCCCTGTTAACAAGCAAAACCCTTCCCTTTAGGGATTTGTTCTTTCCATTGATGTAAGCCCTCACCCTCACCCCACTCTGCTCTTGGAATCTTAAAATGATGACTCATTTAGTCCAGAAAGGATGGTTAGAAATTGATTTGTCCAACTCCTTCTTACAGATGGGGAAACTGAAGCCCAGAAAGGGCCAGGGCTTGCCCACGTCAGACCCGGAGCTCCCAAGACGCAGCCCACTCAGGTGGAGTCTTGTCAGGCAGGCTGACTCTGCCATTTACTGGTTTTTTTCTTTTTTAACATTTTTTATTGGAGTATAGTTGCTTTACAATGTTGTGTTAGTTCCTACTGTACAGCAAAGTGAATCAGCTATACATACACACATATCCCCTCTTTTTTGGATTTCCTTCCCATTTAGGTCACCACAGAGCATTGAGTAGAGTTCCCTGTGCTCTACAGAAGGTTCTCATCTATTTTATACATAGTATCAATAGTGTATACACGTCAATCTGCCATTTACTTTCTGCATGACCATGGCCAGTAGGTGTTACTTTTGTGAGCCTCAGTTTTCTCACCTATAAAATGGGGATCATTGAAGGGTTGTAGAGATTAAAGGAAGTTCTAGGTTTGGATGCAGTGCCATAGCTCCTGGCACACGGTAGGTACTCAGTACAGGCTGGCTGCCTTCCTTCTTTCCTAGCAAAGGAAAATGGAACCTTAAAGCACTGAGACTAGGGCCACCCCTTTACAGGGCCTAAGGGGGGGATAATAGGACCCAGTGACGTATGAGAGCTGGTTTGCACTGGCTGGTGAGAGCAAACTGTTGAATAAGAGCAGATTGTTAAATATTTGGGAATTCCAGAGCGGATGTTGATAGGTTTAAATCGGCTGTGCTGGGAGTACTTTACACCATAGAAATTGGCAAACACTACTAAGGGATTTTTTTTTTTCTAGTAAAGGCATATAGTATGGGATTTGCCGGAAGTAGGAAGTGACTCATGGTATCATTATGCTTATTTTATAGATGAGACCCTGGAGCTAGCTGTGCCAGTGAAATGTATCTGCATATCACATAAATTACAGCTTCACTATTTCCCCACTGTGTGAGCTTGGGCGAGCCATTTGACCTCTCTGAGCCTGTTTTGTCAGGCAGAGAAACTGAGGCAAACACCCAGCTGGATGGGTGGTGCAAAGGGAGGTAACCCTGGCGCCCATCTCACTGGCTTGTTGGGATGATTAAAAGAAATGACAGTTGTAAAATGTAAAGTGCTAGTTTCTGAGCCTGACGAACAGTTGATACTGATATGCTTTTCAGCCAGGAGCTGGCCTGGTATCTTCATCTCATCCTAACCTGGTGAGAAGGTTTCCCAGCGAGGACCCTGAGGCTCTGGTTGGTGAGGTAGCTTCATCCAGGGCTGTGCTGCCAGTAGGTGGCAAAGCAGACTTTGAAGCCTGGTCTGATTGGCTCCAGGGCTGAGCTTCTGCCGAGGGCCTTGGCCCCAGCCCAGCTCTGGGGGGCTGATTGCAGAGCCTGGGTTGTGGTATTTGGCAACTGGCTTCAGGCAGAACGCATGGGGTCAAAGTGGCTGCCTTGCCTAGGTCGGCCTGAGCAACACGGCTCAGAACCCAAAGCCTGCAGCTCTGAGCTGAGCAGTGCCCAAACACAGCTCCTTATTCAGGGGCTCTGGAGCCCCCAGAACTCACTGCCTCTCCTCCGATGCACCTCTCTACCCATACACCCTGCCTCAGGGGAATCACCCCAAAACAGCAATGGCCGCCCCGGACCAAGTCCCTCAGACTATCACTGAATGAGGGGAAATGCATTTTCTTTCCCAACAATGGGTTAGACCTTCTCTGCTCCCACTTCTGGCACAGAGGGCTGCTTTGGGGCTGGGGGGAGGGAGTGGCAGCGAAGCCCCTCCTCAGGGAAACCTAATGAAGCCTCTTCTGATTCCCGCCGCAGCCGTCTTCCTCCTTTTGCTCCCGTGCCCGTTCTGCCAGCCTCCAGCCTCCATCTGGTCCCTCCACCCCGTTGCCCCCAGCACAATCCTGGCACGTCTTGATGCCTGGAAAAATGACACCCATTCCCAGAAAGCCAGGGGCAGGGCTGGGAAACCTAGCAACCAAAGGCCCATCTCCTCCTTCAGAGCACTTCCCTCATTTGGGGTATCTGGGGTCGATGGATGGATGGTGTCATCAGCCCTAAATCCAGAGGTCTCCCAGCCTCCATCTGCTCTGAGAGCATCCAGCCCCGTGGTGGGCACAGGGGAGGCCTCAGGCCCAGAGGAGACTCACT